GCTTGGGAGTGATGATGGACTGCTCTCTGATTTCGGAGAATCTGTTCTGTCCGCCGGTCCGGCACAGCGCTTTGGTGTAAGGCCGATAGCGCAATGGCGGCTTGGTACAAGGGTCCTCCATTGCCCAACATCGAGAGGAGCCAGCCTCTGTCGCCCAGCGAGGAGCGGAAGTCAAAGTAAGGGTAGAGCCAGGCAAAAACGTGATCGAGGTAGTACATCAGGGTGGATGCCATCTGGGGCCTGAAGACGCTTGAAGATTTGTTGATTTGCGTATCGTCCCGCCGACGGGACGAATATTGCCGTGATCGTTGGACGGCTGCCATGCGCAACTGCTGGGCGTTGTTCCGGGCCTTGCGAACGTCCTGGCAGTGTTGTTTGACAGCCTTCTTAATGCGCGTGAGCTCTTTCACTTCCATGGCTCCACCATCCATCCACGAAGGCTTCATCCCGTATCCATAGCACGGGATTCCTCGATCATCGCATTCCGCGCATGCTGGTGTGGCAGCATCGCATTTGCGGTGTCGAAGCTTGCAAGTCCAGCAACCCGAAGAAGAGGTTTCCATTGCTATCTTGCAGAAGACTCTTTGGCAATGTGATAAGATCCTCGGCCCGCGAGGTGTCAGGAGGGTAGCTGAGTATTCTGCCGAAACAAGGCGGTTCGGTGGAGCACACGACACAGGGACTCCAGAGAATCGCAGCTGACTCATCAACTTTGTACATCGCCCCGACTAGTAAGTACTATAAAGGATACTAGGCCTATTACCAACCCTGAAACTTCTAGCTATGGTATTTGTTGTAGCTACTCCCGATCGACCGCGACCAGGTCGCCACCACGGCAGCGGTACCGTCCACAACGCTCACGGACTTAACGCTCATCTCGTTCATACAAGAGAAGCGGGGAATGTACGTAGAACCGAATCCCATGATCGGCCCTACAGGTTCCTTCAGAGCCTTACGGGACTTGACGAGTATACAAAACCTCGCAGTATTTTGATTTATGCTCATGGGCCAGGATAGATCATCAAAGTAGGCCTTTGCCGACGTGCTGCCCAGGAACTTCGAGCACCTCGTCATCGATGACCAGAAGATATTCAATACCTCCGTAGAATTGAATATTGACGAGTTCACCGTACATAGTGCCACAAAGACTAGCTGCTTAACTTGCGTGATATCACGGCACGTTTGAAGTCGTTCAGGATTACTCTGTGGCACATCGTTCAAGGAACTTGAACTGCGAGGGTTCGGCTTGAGTTGACGAAGCCCTACGAGCGAGTAGGCGTGGGGCATCACCAAGATGAAGACTTTGACTCCGATGAAGACTGGAACTTACCGAATGGATGGGAATGGCAGGGAAATGATGAGTTCTATACTTTGAGCCGGGGCCACCAATACGGGATCGTCTTTGGTATGGAACCAATCACGTTGCCTCGACGCCTTGAGCACTGAACGTTCTCAGCCTAAAATATTATCCAAGCCTGCTTTAGTTATCAGTAAGGAAACCAGCGTACCCGTAGGCACTAGCAGGCTAGTAGGGGCAAGTTCACAAACCGGGACTACGTCTTTGACGGCCCTCTCAGATAAAGTCTACATCGCGATCCACGACCACTATTCGCTTGAAAGACGATGACTTGATGTTGATATATTAATGCGATGTGCGCTTCCATTGTGAATACACTTGCGCTCACTCGTCCAGGGTCCAAGTGGCGGCAGTGGCTATCGTGTGTGACTGCGAGTATCTGTACAAGTCTTGGAAGCCTGTCCCAGACTGGCGGCCTGACTTTGTGGTGCATAACTCGCCGGATTCCGGTTATATCAAAGACCTGTAAAGGCAAGTAACTCAGAAGGCATCGAGATCAATCACGTAGACTCGCAATGCTAGGCAGCCTACTACCTGTTTGCTGATCTGGAACCACCGAGTAGACTCATGCGGGACGGTACTGAGGACTCGCGTGGTTTTACTGTTGACAGAGAGGGGTCATGCGACGCGGGCTCTGAGCTAGACTGCCGAAACGAGGAATTTGCGATATGGAATGACTTGGTCAGTAGTAGGCGAACAAGCTTAAAAAAATCCTTTTGATCAGGGGTCAAAACATCTCGGTACGTTACCGGATTCATGCCGACGAGGTTCTTGAAATGGCGTACAAGACAGACAAGCATAGAGAAGCTATCCATGATTTACGCGTCTCAATCCGCAGCGGCTACTCCTGTACTACAAGTGCCTTGATAACTCACGTACTAGGTCTCTCACATTGTTCCTGTCACGATAAGATCCAGAATACTTAGGCCGTAATCTTCACGAGGCGGCGTACTGTTCCAGCGAGATTTGGGGGTCGTGTTGTTCGCCGGGACATGGCATTCTGGCCGATGTTGGTGTCTCCTATGTATGTACTATGACTTACGGTCCTCTAGGTTCATATGACCCAGAATGCCGAAGCGGTTGCAATTTTCTATACGAGAGTTGGCGTAGTGACGTCGGTGGATGCGATCTGCGCTGTGCAAAGGTGCGTGGCAGGCTACTGTATCAATAGCCGCTCAATGAGGGTGGCATCTGAGGCTTCTCCATGTCTCAGGTCGGTCTGAATGATCCAACGCCTACGACTAGAATGAACCTGGATCCTGCCAGGTTGGAGCGACAGGAACCAGGCAAGCCGGACCCTGAAATGACCAACACGTCACTTGAATGAACAGGACTCGGCGAGCCACCCGAGAGGTCAAACGGGAATACGGTGGGACATGCCATCGGCTGGTCCGAGATGCACCACGTGACTATGAACCATGCTCATCGGGCTGCTTACATACCTTATGTGTAGGTAGGTATCAGAGATGACGCAGGAACGAGCAAACGGGACCTCGGCTCATTCGGACATGTGCCGAATTGCGTCGTTACGCCGAAAATGTTGAGTTTCTTGGTACGCCCACAGGATTGATCCCGTCGGCAGAGCAGCCTTCGGCCTCTTTTGCGAAAACCCTCCGGCGCACCCGACAGTCTGAAATGCCCAATGAAGCATGACAGCGAGCCACACAGAGCACGCGTCGACCTCATGGTCGGGCGCGCCGCCGGGGTCCGTCATGGTCCCTTTTTTTTCTCCCCCCTTTGCCGTGTTATCGCAAACGCCGTCTCAACAATCGGGGCGCCGGTCTTTGCGCACTACCGATTTCTCATCATCAATCGGTCTTGAGTTTTGCAGGGCTCATTTTTAAGGTATTTTCAAGGGCCCTCACACGAGTCAGGCCTTCTGGTGCTGCTCATAAATAGCAAACGGCCCCATATCGCACCCCGTAATCTGTTCATGATGAGCGCTCTCGGTAACGAACTGGACTTTTTCCCGCCCTACGATCCACCACCACCCTCCATCCAACCAGAAGAGCAGCCAGAGGATCCCCTCGACCCGGTCACGATGCACAAGACAGCCCCCTTTCCCGGCTTCACGGCTCTGTCGGAGCAGGTGTTTGTCCGCGAGGCGCCCGTCAACGACGGCCCCCGCCCCGCCGGCCAGCCGCACACCGTCATGCTCTACGGCTGGGGCGACGGCACGGCGCGCAACGTGCAAAAGTACACAGACGGCTACGCCGCGCTGTTCCCGCACGCGCGCCAGATCGCCGTGCTCTCGCCCATCGCCAAGGCCATGTTCAACAACGCCGCGGCGCGCGCCGTCGCCATGACGCCCGTCGTCGACACGCTCGGCGCCCTCGACGGCACGGACGGCGACGGCGACGGCGACGACGACGACGACGCCATCCTCGTCGAGGCCATGTCCAACACGGGCGCCGTCAACTTCAGCGCGACCCTCGACGCCTTCGCCGCGCGCCACGGCCGCCCGCTGCCCCACCGCCTGCTCGTCCTCGACTCGACCCCCGGCAGCCCCTGGCTCACGTGGCCGTCGCTGCAGCGCTGGTCGCGCGCCATGACCATCGGCACCGCCGCCTGGTTCCCCTGGCCCTTCGCCGTGACCCAGTGCCTCTGGGGCTCCTTCCTGACCGTCAACGTGCTGGCCGGCTGGTGCGTCGGCCGCGAGGCCGCCGGCGCCTTCGCCCTGCGCGTCACCGACGACGACGCCTTCGAGACCAAGAACGCCAGGCGCCTGTACCTCTACAGCAAGGAGGACGACCTCATCACCTCCGACGACGTCGAGATGTACATGGCCGAATCGAGGCAGAAGGGCTACCAGCTGCGCGCCGAGCTGTTCGACGGCAGCGGCCACGTCGGCCACATGCGCATGCATCCCGAGAAGTACTGGAAGTCCATCGCCGACGCGTGGGCCTGGACAAACGAGGAGCCGAAAAGCGGGTAAAGGGAGAGTGGGTGAAGAAAGGGGGGTTTCCTCGTCGTGGGGGGGCCGTTTCTGTTTGATGTCTTGGTATAAGCGATCTACATTTGCATCAGCATCTTGGGAGTTAGGAGTTGGCAAGAATGGGTTCCGTGAGAGCCGTCATGGCCTCACATGCTTGTAGCGTAACGACATAGAGTTGTAATGTATTGCGGGGATCATGAAGCAGCGCCCTGGAGACGCGATGTCGCGACTTGACGAGTGAGTCTTTCGCGCGACTTGATGAGCGAGTGTTCCGAATCTTCATGGTCGCATAGGTGAGGAAGGCCGAAGTCGCCAACGAGCCACACACCTGCCAATCACTTTAGTCAGCGGCTCCCGCCTGTCACTCAGCTCCATCATTCCACCAACTTCGCTTCACATCACATCGAGCACGCATGGAGATGGTATACTCAAGAACCACGAATTCGAATTCCGCACCAAACAATCAAGTAGCTATCCATGAGCTGTGGCTGTTGACATGACAGCCTGCATGCCCCAGCGTTCCTTTTCTCATCAGGCTGAATGGAACAGGGGCCATCTTCCGCTCATGCCGTACCCTTCAACACCAGAACACCAATGCCTCCCAAAGTATCAAAACGCCCTTCCCCGCAGCATACCAGTGTGCTGCACATCCTGAGGCGCGGCTCCTCCCCCTTGGGCATGTCCCGCGCGCTTTGCCATCCGCACTCTTCACATTCGCACGGCGTTGTACACCTGCTCGCGGGCAGGAACCCGGTACGTGTCGAAGAACCTAGGAGTGTAGAAGCTCCGGGCACCAGTTTGCGCAAGGTACGCCGAGAATCGCTCGTGCGACCTCCACACCGACTGAGGGCAGCCAGGCATGCTGATGATCCGCTGCACAGTCAGAAAGTCCAGCGGATACTCGGTGATTTCGACCCAGCTGTTCGGGGGGTTGAAAGCCATCTTATCCCTCGTGTCGTTGATCATGTTGGGCCAGCTCCATGCGACTGTGGCCAGGGGGGGCTTGCCGGCGCGGTGGCGGACGAGAATGTCCAGGCGCTGCCAGATGGTCTTGTCGTGCCACTGCGCACACTCATCGACGAGGTGGCGGGTAGAGTTGCAGAGTGGGCAGACGTGCGTGAAGCCGCTGGGGCCCGGTACGGTGCAGTAAGCGGGATGGTGGCCGAGACCTCCGCAGTTCTGGCACAGCTGCCAGCTTGGTTCTGGTCCGAGGCTTTGATCCGGCAACAGTCTCGTGACGAATGCTTCCTGGGATGCGTCCCGGCCCATTCGCATGGCACCATGAGAGACAGGGAGCTCGCCGGAAGGGGCACGAGAGCGAGACCTTCTGGAGTGAGAGGCATTGGTGTGGAAAGGAGCTTTCGTGCCGGACCGCGCGATGCCTGCCGAAGCCGGTCGGCAGAAGAGACCACTGCCATCCCAGTGCTCGATGACAGGGCGGTTCCCGGATCGCTTCGAGAGGTCGCCGAGGGCGCTGATGATCGACAGCTCCCCTCCAGGACCTCTCTCGTCGAGAGCGGCAGCCATCCTCTCAGCCCAAGCCATGAGGGCCTCGCGAGTATGGATGATGGCCACTTTGGTTGCACCGTTCAAGGTCTGGCCGACGGTGTTCTGGCGGCGACCGCCATCGTGGGTCGTCGGGACGATGCGGAAAGCACGCGCAGAGCGGTCGGGGTCGCGCTGCTCGAGGTCGACACGGAAGAGAGAACCCATATCGCTGAGCAGGGGGAGTGAGGTCTGGTTCGAACCCCGCCACTGGCTGGCCTCCTGGTGTTGGGTATCACGGTCGCGGTACCTGGGCTGGCTTGTGTGCCGAGGCGGCGATCGACTCCTGGTCCGAAATGGCAGGCCCCGATGTGAGTAGTCGCTCCGCGAGGGTTCGTGACTAGCCTCAGCATCACCGAGGGACTTGAGTTCACCTCCGCCCATGGTGACTTTTGGACCTTTAGTAGTGCTTTGTATGTCGCCTTGCTAGACCAAGGTTGATGCCGAGAAGGTGTTGCGATAGGCAGAGAGTTGCTGCGTGTGACTACACACTTCGTTCAGCAGCGATGTCCGAAGGAAGGAACTTGCAGAAAGGGAAAGCCCGCTGTTTCTTCAGCGAGTTCTCTGAATGTTGAATATGCCGGGTCTTGGGCAGGAGGTCGGTCACTGAGGCAGGTGCGATCAACCATGTACTGTGTGACGTTCCGATACCGATCCCACACTGTGGATGCTGTCACCATTTCAGTACGTGAATGGATAACTGGGCGGGCATTGAAGCGCGCAGAGCGTCCCATTCACTGATGGAGATTCATTCACATGGCTGTATTACAGTGACGGTGTCGTCTAACGCATAGAATCTCGGTGCTGCACAGCAAGTCATTGATGTGTGGAATCGACCAGTGCCTCGTTCGTGGCACAGGTCAGATGTTGTAAGCCCGTGGACATGGCGGAGTTACGTGGCTACCTCTGTCGCCGGCTACTTCAACTGCATCTGCGGCAGTGTTTCGCATCAAGTTTAATAACTGTCTGCTCAGACCTGTTGCCGCCTATCGTTGTTTCGTGGGTTTGCAGCCAAGAGCTTGGCCAGATATGTCAGCTTGGCCAGCTTGTTGCATTTGATGATAGGAGGCATCGGACCGACCCTCCCAAGCAGACTGCCTAATGTGGCCGCTGTCCAGATATCCATAGGGTACTCTGTGTGCATGGACTGGTTCCCATAAGCTTACAGACTCTCTTGCTGAGGGTACCGATGCTTTGGTTTCTGCAACCCCAACTGGAGCCAGGCCGAGGCAGCCAATAATACGACAAAGGGAGACAGGCGCAGAAACGGTGCAGGCAGGCGAACGCGACAGGTCGGCCGAGGCATGAATGCCAAAACACTGTTGCCTGGAAGTCTACAGCAAGGCCTTGCCAACTACAACATCGTCTGGACCCTGAATCTAGACCTCGTGTTTGCTAGGGCCGCGAGGAACCCATTTCCCATTTCGTGCCAAAGTCCTAGCTTGCCGGCGGGTTGAGCCATGGCGCGGAATGTAGCGCGGCCCTAGACACCGATTGTTTGTATGCCGACTGCCGAAAGGGACGGCTGGCCTCATGCTATTTCGAGCGCTTGGTACACAAGCTTTGAGGTCGACGCATGGCGGGGGCCGCACCCGCACCACCGGCTTCGGTATAAACTTCTCCCTGACCTGAGGAGGTGCAGCGAGGGTGCACGATGAAAGGATCGTTACTGTTGGAAGACTCCCATATTCACGAGGGATTGGCAGGGAGGACGGGATATACATGTAGCACGACACTGGGCATGGATGGTCGTTGCTCAACCCCCCCCCCCTTTCTACCAAAAAAAAAAAAAAAAAAAAAAAAAAGCCAAATCATGAAGTTTGTCATGGCCCGCAATTGAGCCAGGGGGTAAATACTTAGTTGGCTCACCGTACAGTTGGTTGAGAATGGTGCAGTCAATGACAACGAGATTACGCTGGCGAAAATCAAAGGTATAGATTGACATCGTCATCTTGAGTCGCAACTGTCAAGGGACAGCATGATGCAAGGCTGCATGAACGCGTCGCGTTCTTGAATGGCAAGCTTCTCGAGCAGACAAATACCTCCCTGCATGAGTTTACGAGACCCGGGCTTCTGTCAGTCAGATGCAACTGAGTCGTGACAACAAGAGCGGTGGGGGCCTCGTGGCTTCTGGAACGGAGATGAAGGTCCTGACGGGGAGATCACATGCTGGGGTGGCGCTAGTTCGCGGACTGCCTGAATAGGAGATATTTGGGTACATGGTACATGTACGTTGCTGATATGATTCGGGTGGTCATGATTTCTTGCCAGTGTGGACGATGTCGCGGTCGCAGGCATCGTGCGCGCGCGCAAGATGCTGGACGTGACCCAATCGCGATCCACGTTGGGGTCGCACTCTGATGATTCACCAAGTCCATTTCGCTCAAAGAAGACAGGACAGAGGAAGTGCCAGCCAGCCAGTTACCGCCCCCTATTCGTACCTAGGAACGCCGAAACGAGGCGTGTCAACACTGTGAACGGAGTCCGCCTCCACCAGTGGAGCAGTCTGATACTCCGAGGCTGAGTAAATGAACACAAAACAAGCTCAGGCGTCTCCGCAAGTCAGCCTGCCACCCAGTCGGAGCTCATGACTGATCGAGTTGGTTGATCGCCCAGTCCTACCGTACAGAGACATGCAACCTCAGGAGGTGCAGCTCCCAGATCCTTACTGCTTTGGCTTGTGTTGCCTGGATGGTCTTGGTGGTGGTAGCAGCGCAGCTAGCCGCGTCACGTTGAGGAAACCCTAATACGAGATGAAGATCCCCCGGGGGGCGGCAACAGCAGATGTTTGATAATTGACAGGATGTCGTGTTGATCGAGGTTGGTCATTTTGCGGATTGTCAAAATTCAGGAGCACCGGTCATTTCGGTCGTCCGGCACTGAGTTTAGCTTTCGATTCAGCTTTCATTGAATGTTTGTCGGCTCAGGGTGCAAGATGAAGGACTGGCATTCCACTTCAGGAGTGGTCGCGTGCCTCGAAACGACATTCGCTCGTTCTGGGGCACGAATGAATGCATGCATGCATTGCGCGTATACCTCCCCCCGGGCCTTCCGACGCCGTGCCGCCAGCACCACGCACACAGTACCTACTTGACCTCAGTACAACCGTACCACCGAGCCACCGTACCACCGCACCACCACACCACAGTGCCATGTACCACCGATCTACTCGACTCGGGTGCTGGGATTATTGGGTCGGGTTGGTTTGGTTGGAAGTGAGCTGGACCCGGGTTTGGGAAGTCTGGGTCCCATGCTCCTTGGCGATGCACGCGATCGGGGCCAGACGAAATGCTAAATGATCCTAACGTGACGACGAAGCTCACAGCCGAAGACGGGGAGATCTGGCAGGAGCGTGGCCCGGCTTGTCAGCATCCTCCCGTCTCGACCGATCGGTCAGTGGGAGAAAAGGAAAGGGGGGCGCTCAAGAGATGAAATCCGCTGGTTGCTTGTTCACTGCAAACGGGTATTGGATCCTCTTCCGCTCAGGCTCAGGCTCAGGCTCAGGCTCAGGCTCAGGTGCAAATGTTCGTATTACGGCATTTTCGTGTGGTCCACTTGGTCCAGGGTCCCGACTAATGTGTGTGTGTCGTATTGCGCCCTGCCGAAGCCCCTGACAGGACGCTGCAGGGGGGCGAGACCAGCCTGGCATGGATTAGCTCGACGCTGGCAGCTCGATCAGGGTGGCGCTGCCACTCCACGTTGAGAAGGTCCCAGCTGGTCGACTTGCTGCTGCCTTGGTGGCGCTGGCGGACCGGGACTGACACGCCTCACCTACATGTCCCTACTGTACAGTAACACGGGCTCTCCGCAGACGGCAGGCACTATGCCCATCCATTTCAGCGATCCCATCAAGCCCATCCGCCGACGTCCGCTCCTGTAACACTAGGTACCCGGTCGACTAGCGCCCAAGCTGGTCTGTGCGCTCGCGTCTGTCCACACAAGGCCATGAGATCATCATTAGCACACGATCAATGGAGAACAGGGGGCAGGGTGTGTGTCCGTGTGTGTGTCTCTCTCACTTTTGGAGGGGTGGACAGCCAGTACATGGTACTAGGGACCCAGGAATGGAGGAAGGTTTACGAAGGGGGACAGGGCCGACCTTTGATGGAAGAAAGAACGCCGGGCAGGGTCACACGAAAGGCAAGAAAGGAAGGGCTGGCTACCCTGCGGTAAGACAAAGGCACGCGAGCACCTTCTGCTACTTGCTGCTGCTGGCCGGTGCGGCTCCCTCTGCTGTGAATGAACACCGGCACCGCCTTCCCGCTGTCCACTGGCGCGCCGCTGCCAATCCCATCCATCCCATCAGCTCACCTCAGTCCACAGCCTAGATCTGGTCTGGCCTGGTGTGCTTCTGTCAGGTTAGGCTGGCCGGTGTGCATCTGTGCATCTAGATAGATCTGCTTTCTTCCCCTTCTCTTGTTTGCTCCTTCCACCTACCTCTTCTCTCCTGCTCCTGCGTTCCCACCGCGAGCCAGGCACGACTCGACGTAAAGTTCTCCTTTTCCTTCCTTTGCCACCTTCGTTCGGTCTGCCTGCCTGCCTGCCTGCCTGCCTACCTACTCGCGTGTCTGGTTCTTGACTGGCAGTTTCCTGGCTGGCAGCTTCCTCGCTCTGGCAATCGCATTTCCTGCTCCGAATCCATGGATGACTTTCAGGTCCTGTCACCATGCACCTACCGGTCGTTTCCTTGCTCTTCGCCGCCCTCTGCACGTCTCTCTTCTTCACCAAGCTGATTCTGCTTCTCATCCACGCGCCTACCATCCCCGTGGCTTCGACCCTCTTCTACCTGCCGACCTTTTTTCTGCCCGACTTTCTCGTCATATGCGTCGCCAGATTGGCTCTTCGTCGGGAAAAGGGCCGTCTGTCGTTGATCGCGTGTGTTGTCGGATCTTTGCTGACGTAGGTTCCTCCCTCAGCTCTCCGCCCCGCTTGTCGGGGGTGCACGCGCACACTCGCATACCCCCCCCGTCCCGCCCCCCCCCCCTATCTCCCATCCTTCGAGCGACAAGCCGCCCGCACCCTTGCCTTTGCTTTTGCCCCTATCCCCATCCCAGCCATGCCGGCCAAGTCTGACATTTGCTTAGCGTCGTGGTGGTTGGAGCCGCATCATCCACCCTAGGTTTCTTCTATGAGACAGGCAGCGAGCTCGAATGGCACTCGGCCGCCACCTTCGCATTCGAGAAGGAAGCCAGAGATGTCTTGCTCAGCGGTCTGCTGCCTGTCACGGCATCCGCCCTGTTCATTCTCTCCGTTGCGTGGTTCACCCACCAAATCCTTTACAAAGCCGCCGGGGACTTCCTGATTGAAGCTGGCTACTGTGTGGTTTACGGTATGCTCCGAAGAAACATGGCGGCCGATCAATCCGTCTTTGCTAATCTCCAAAACCCAGCCTGCAAGCAATTTCTGAAATCACGCCAGGTCCAGGATGTCGAAAAAGACGCCGAATCTAGCCGCAGTATGTTGCACAATGGCGACGGCGAGGACAACAACGGACAGCAACCCAAAGCGCCCGCCGACATTGATAGCGACGACAGCGACGATTGGGGCAACCCTCCCGAACTACGAGAAACCAAGTCTTCCCGATCCCGCTCGAGATCCCGTTCTCCCCAATCGCCATCCCGACCTTCACGCGTGCCTTCGTGGAGGCTCAAGGCTGCAGCACTAGGCTTTTTCGCCTTCGCCATGATCTTACGACCGCACAAGCCCTTCGACCACATGTCTGTCACGCTCCCCGTCGCCATGCTCGATATGTTTTCTTTCGGCGGCCCCCCTCGGCACAGCTGCATGGGGGCTGGACATCATGGCCTGAACGACTGGCCCTTACCCGAGTTGACGGAGAAGTCTCGGTGGAAGATGCCCAAGGGGAACTTCAAGGGCTGGGCACCAGGTGATAACAGCCCCATGGCCGATGCTTACCAGCACCGAGTCGTTGACTGGGTCATCGAGTCGATGCCACGCGGTTTCCTTCGATGGGACCGCGCAAGGTGGAGGGATCACGGCCCACCACATCCTCACGCTCACGATCATGGCCCGCCCGGCCATGGCCCACCCGGGCACCCTCCGCCTCCTCCGCCGCCCCCTCATGGAGGGCCCCGTGGAGAAGGGCCACCCGGGCCACCCGGGCATCATCCTCCCCCACCTCCGCCTCCCGGATGCCCGCCTCCAGATATCCAGCAGTCATTCTACAACCCTGTAGATGATCCCCTACGCATCACGAACCTTAACGACGACATCCTTAAGCCGTTGAAAGACAGCCTCGACAAAGACGAAGTCAAGATCAAACATGTGGTCTTTATTCTCATGGAGAGTTTGCGCTCTGAGGTCTTTCCCATTCGACCGAACACCAGCTTCCACGACATGATTGTGGAAGCTAACGAGGAGGAGATGAGGGAGGAGATCAAACTTCGACTGGCCCAGATGACTCCCAACATCGCAAAGATTACAGGATACACGGCAGACTTCGAAGGGGTTGAAACACCACCAGTGTCCTGGGCAGGGCCGTCCCAGCCTGGTTACGGAGGTATCAACGTGCTTGGTGCGCTGACAAGCAGCACCATGTCCACGAAGAGCTACTCAGCCAATCTGTGTGGCACGTGGCCCATGGCTGTGGAAACGTTTGACGAGGCCGACACCGACGCCTATCAACCGTGTCTCCCCCAGATCCTTGATCTCTTCAACCGAGACAAAGACGGCAGTGGCAATCCCGACCCTGCAAGCGATTTCCGCCAGCAAAAGTGGCGTCCCGCACTGTTCGAGGCAATGACGGAGACTTTTGACAGGCAGGACAAGTTTGACAAGAAGATTGGGTTCCAACATATTGTGGCCGAGAAACAACTCAAGGCAGACAAGTCGCGGTACAAGCCTCTCGAGCCACTTTACGAAAAGGTCAACTACTTTGGCTTTGCCGAACCCGTCCTCGTCCCCTACCTGAAGGACTATATCAACGAGACAGCGGCGAATAACGAGCGCATGTTCATGATGCACTTTACCAGCTCGACCCACCATCCCTGGGTCACTCCGAAAGCGTGGGACACGACCGATTATTTCGAAAGCAAGGGCATCAAACACCGGGATCTGAACAAGTTCCTCCAGACCATCAACTACCACGATGCTTGGATGGGCAATTTAATGCAGCTTTTTGAGGAGACGGGAATCGCCAATGAAACTCTTGTCGTGTTTGCAGGCGACCACGGCCAGGCCTTCAAGGAGGACTGCAAGAAGCAGGGTACCTTTGAGAACGGCCACATCAGCAACTTCCGCATCCCCATCGTCTTCTCCCATCCCCACCTACCCAGGATAGAGTACGAGGCGAACGCGACTTCCCTGTCCATCCTCCCTACGATCTTGGACCTTCTTATCAATACTGGATCTCTCAACAAACATGATAGCAGCGTCGCATCTGACCTCGTGCACGATTATGAGGGCCAGTCTCTCATTCGACCGTACAAGGCGGCGGACAACGGCCGCCGCGCGTGGAACTTCTCCATCGTCAATTCGGGAGCTGGCATGCTCTCCATCACCTCGGCAGACACCACTTGGCGACTCCTGCTGCCCCTCGTGGAGACTTTTGAGTACAAAATGTCCGACCTACAGACAGACCCAACTGAGCAGGATGTGCTTTCGGCCTGGTCGCTGAGGAGCCTGGCCAGTGGCGTGCGAAAGAAGCACGGAGAAAGCGCTGCTGATTGGGTGAAAGAGGCTGAAATCGTCGCGCAATGGTGGATGAAAGAACGGCGGCGCCTCTGGAGGCACTCTTGAGACGAATAGAAGATAGAGAGCGGAAAATGATTTGTTTACCTGTTGAATGCACGTGCTGCGATACTCGGGTGATGGCTGTCAAAGCAGGAAATTTGCAGCGGCATATCGAAGCTTCGCATCGCGCGCGATTCCAGTCAGGGCATCAGCGCATAGCCAGTGGCCGGGACATGTGAACAACAGAGACCACGTACCAGGCATCGCCCATGGCAAACACAGAAAAAACGAACGCGCCTTGGCTATGTTCGCTAAGCTGTACTACCTCTTTTCCAGGCGCCAATGATGCATCCTCGCGAGCTCTTACCCCGCATCCGCCCGTTCACCAGGGTCACCTAGCGCGTTGTGGTAGTGTTGTGGACCAGCTGGATTCCCCATATTCATCGACTGGGTAGACGAATCTCAAGGCACTTCACCCCCCCTGCTGCCTTTTGTTCGAGCAAGAAAATGGCATATCCGCAACTACACCGACAAAGATTTGCATCTGGCGTTGTATGAGAACCAGAAATGGCTCCTAGCCCCGAGGGGAACGATGTTGCTGCCCGTCGTGCCAAGAAGCGCGAGCTCGACCGCCGGTCCCAGCGCGCGGCGAGAGAGCGAACCCGGACTCGCATTGCACATCTGGAGGCCACCGTTCAGGCCATGGCACAGCAGGAATCGAGCGGTACCATCGCAAGTCTCATGGACCAGCTCGTCGAAACGAGACGCCAAAGGGATGATCTGTCTAGATTGGTCTCCTCGATCGAGACGAGCGTTCACGCCCACCGGGAAGCTGAGAGAGTCGCGGCGGAGGGCGCCGAACAACCGCGGCCGCCCCAAAGCAACACGCATGGGGAGCAGTGGCCCGGAATGGACGAGTCGGCTCTCCTGCAGACGCAAGATCTGCCGATGGAGATGCTCTCACCAAGCGCCATCATGGACCTGACGCCCCTTCCGTCCGGCGACGTCTTTGGCCTCCCTACTGCTGACTTTCTGGATCACATACCCTCCCCAGAAGCTGACTCGCTTCGACATGGTGAGCTCGCCGAACTTGAGGCACCCCGGGTTCCTGAATTCGTCATTGTGCCAGAACCAGACAAGCCATGCGACTGCACTTCGCCTGGCGTGCTACCAGGTCGGTCTCCGTCTTCCAACCACAGCATCTGGCGCACGGCCAATGAGGCCCTCAGCAGTCCAGGGCTTCTGCCCGTCCAGACCTTGCGGCACGAAGACGGCCTCGGCGAGGACATTCCAGTTCAGGTCATCTTGGAAGGTTGGGACGCGGTCGAAAGCGCCCGAAATGTGCCGCCGCTGTGGAGAAAGCTGCGCCGGACAGACGAGCTTCAGTTCAGCAGCTGCGGCAAGGTGGAGCGGTTGGCGATACTGTTGCTGATGCATACGCTCCTGAGATACCAAGCGGAGCCCACGGCGGATCAGTATGCGAAACTGCCGCCGTGGTATCTGAGCAGGTATGGTATTTCCTGAAGCTAGCCTTGCGAATTCTCTTCTCTTCTTCTGTTGCACGTGGAGCTAACCCGAAAAGACCGTCGCAGTCATTGCCGCACTCGTCGGCCATTGACTTTTTTGTGTGGTAATGCAATCTGTCCCTCTCCTCGCAAGAAATGAAAAGCAGAGGCACAAAAAAGGAAAGCACGATTGTATGCTAAGTTTGATCCCAGGCCCGGCGTTAGAGAGCGCTTCGTATTCTCGCAGCACCAGTACTGCTCCGACTTTTTCTGGAAGGTGTTCGCGGACAACTTTCGGCTGCTGTGGCCGTTTGAGCTGCGGGACTGTTACAGGCGGAACCTGCGGACAGGGCTGTATAGCATCTCGCCCGACTTTTCCGAACGTATACGTGATATCCAGGCCTGGGCGATGGCGCCGGACTTTTTTGTGCACTTTCCGGAGATGTATGCGGACATTCCCGTCTTTCAATCTGTTCCAGCAAGTGTGACGTCGTGTTGGAGGGGCGGGCGGTCGAATGAAGGGCAGAATTCTCGGCGCCTCAAGGCGATCGACTATCAGGACGGGGATGAAGGCGAGAGTGCTCAGGGTGACGGGCAATTCGTCCCAGAGCAAAATGTACAGAGGGGGGCGAGTCTTTGGCTATGATCCGAGAATACGCGATGCCTGGCCGGCATGTAATATGAATCCATCGTCTCGAGATACCTTGGTCGCATGGGCCTTGGTCACCCGTGCACATGCAAGCAGACCACATGTTCAGAAAGGATGTTTACACGGATACTCATGTTTTGAAATTACTCTTGTTGTTAGGTACGACTCAATTGTGAGTGTTTGACAAGATCATCAGCCCCCATGAACACTTCTACGCAGGCGCCATGACGTCGAATGAGACGGCCGCTTACTGCAGGTCGTTGATCGATAAACGCTCTGCAGCAATTAGCAACTTTGAGCTTCAAAGCCAGCATGATATTCAGAAACAATTTCACATACGAAACTCTAGACCATCATATGTGGAGGCTCCCCGCACGTTGCGAACAAAGAGACCCGAGGTTGACGCCGGCTCTGGGTGTTTCTTGGCCTTACCCCGCCGCACCATAACACATTCGAACGGACATCATTGGCCGCCACGATGACCATTCCCATCCCTTGGCATGACTCTGGCGCGCTGACTCCGTGGCAGAACGCAATGACTGCTCCAGACACGTCTGGACAGTTGGTTCCAGCCGATGGCGGCTCTGACAACCAGCATTCAATGATTATCCCCCGCAACGTACCCCATGGTTTCCCCAGAGTTACCCCGCAACATGGGATGATTTGACGATCTCATGGACTGTTTTCGTAGCTATGATGTTCAAACTAATGGTGAAGACAGTCTTGGCGGTCGACCTACAAAAGAGATGGCCATCCCAACCGTATTCTCGGGACTGCAGATCACACAAATGCGCTGCTGCTTGACAACAGAGAAGCAGCACTCGCATTTTCCTCATCCAACACAACCGCAACCGAAACTCTACTGCCATGGCGGCGCAACAAGCTCCAGATGGCCTTCGCACGCGCCATTCCGACGAGGAGTCGGGCAACTACCGTGTCGAAGGAAAATTCGAAGGTTCTGCGCATGTGGAGGATGCTGAGAAAAACAATATTGCCGCTGTCAGCACGCATGGCCTAAGTCCAGAAGAACAAAAGAAAGTCATGTACGTATTGTTCATGACCCATACAAGCTGTGCGAATTGTAGCTGACGGACGACATTGTAGCCGACGCATCGACGTTCGACTCCTCCCAATTCTCGGTCTCATGTATTCGATCTCGCTGATCGATCGCACAAATCTGGGCCTAGCTCTCGTTGCTGGCCTCCAAGAAGACCTGGGGCTTCACATTGGCAATCGATACACTGTTATAGTCATGGTGTTCTTCGTAGCCTATATGTATGGAAGCCTTCTGTCGCCTTGTCGAGCGACGCTCTGCTGACCTGTGTCTAGTCTGTTTGAAATCCCTAGTGTAAGTGTTGAAGAGCAAAACGAAACGACACTGAACTAACTCCGCAGAACCTCATTCTGCCTCGTGCTGGTCCAGCAAATTGGCTTGCCTTTCTTGGTGTTGGCTTCGGCTCCGTCCTACTCGGTATGGGGTTCACGAAACACTGGGGAACCATGGCGCTCTGTAGAGCGCTTCTGGGTGTACTAGAAGCGGGCTTCCTACCGGGTAAGTCAAATTTGCTGAAGTAAATTACCAGGGAATGGTGCTGACAATTTCAGGTTGCACATATCTCATTACGTGCTGGTATACCCGTTTTGAGGTTGGAAAGCGACTATCGGGATTTTGGATCATGTCCGTTGTCCTCAGTGCCTTTTCAGCCATCTTTGCCTATGTTCTTGCTTTGCTCGACGGAAAAGGCGGACTCGCTGGTTGGAGCTGTAAGTATTTCATCACTCTCAAGGTCATCATGGAGACAGTTGCTCACGCCACCAGGGATCTTCATTATTGAAGGTGCAATCACTATCGTTGTCTGCGGATTCGGCTGGTTCATCATTATCGATTTCCCAACAAAGGCTGGCAAGTTCCTCAAGCCAGCCGAGCAGGCATTCGTCATTGAGCGCATCAACAACGACCGAGGCGATGCCGAGGATGACGGTGTCAATGCCCGCAAGATCTTGAAACATCTCAAAGACTGGAAGTTGTACTTTTGGGCCTTCAACCTCATGTCTTCGACCCTGCCAGGCTACGCTTACTCGTACTTCTTACCCATCATCCTCCGAAACGGCATGGGTTTCAGTCGCACCAACTCGATGCTTCTCAGCGCCCCGCCGTATCTCCTTGCCGCTATCATGGCTTTCGTGTCCGGCTGGCTCGGCGACAAGTACAAGATCCGCGGACCGATCATCGCTGTGCATCAGGCGATCACTGCTGTGGGCATGCTGATCACCGTCTACGCCGAATCGAACGCCGCTCGCTACTTTGGCGCGTTTCTCGGTAGGTCCTACCCGCTTCATCGCGGCGGGATATCTATTTTAGCAATCACTGACATGTCGCAGGCATCGGTTTCTTGCAGTTCTGCGTTCCCGGCGTTCTGACGTTCCAGGCCAACAACATTACATCCCACTCTAAGCGAGCCGTGGCTTCAGCAACGTGCCTCATTGGTGGCGGTGTCGGAGGCATCATCTCAAGTGTGGCCTTCATGGCGAAAGAGAGCCCGCACTATACCGTAAGTACTCCTGCTTTCTGGCCTAGCTTTCTTGAGCTAATCGTGAACGACAGACCGGTGTGTGGACCACGTTCGGCATTTCAATGACCAGCATCTGCATGATCATCATCATGGATCTTTACTTCTGGCGGCTCAACAAGGCTGTGAAGGCAGGGACTCGTCTGAACGAAGGCATGGCAGGGTGGTTCTATACGCTCTGAGGTAATCGATCGAAGCTGGAACAGACAACCGCAGAAAAGGGCGGGTGAATAAATTTACAATTCACTGCCATCTTCTGAGCTGTGGGGTTGAGTGACTTGGCATCGAAACATTCGTGGCGGCTTCCGTGTTATGTCTGATGAACAGCTACAATGACCAGGC